TCAAACAATTTGTCATTTTGCTGACTCATGGTATCAATGGGTGGCAAAGGTTGAAGAATTAATGTGCATCAGGGAATACTTGCATTGTTGCCAGTACCCGTATGAAATGAAATACACTTACCAGTTATTTGAACAGGAAAACATCCTTTATGTGAACCTCTCATTAAGAATCAGTTTACTTGAAACCACCAGTATTTAAAGCAATAAATGCCTTTGACTGTTTAAATAAGATTTTTCTTCCCAACAAGTAGAAGAGAGTGGGTATTTGGGAGTCAAAGTACAGATAGTCAATTCGTATTTTTCAAAAAAAAAAAAAAAAAAAAAATACCCTTAGTGAGAGAAAGCAAAAGGTATTGTCATTTTTCTGGTAGATTTATTACTGTTCCCCTACTTGGGAGGTAATAACAGGGGCAATGTTTTGCAGTCATTGGTGCAGCCATCTTATGGACTTACCTTGGAAAATCTCTCTTAGAGATTTGTTGTTGTTGTTGTTATGTGCTGTCAAGTCGGACCTGACTCATAGCAACCCCTCCTTGGGTTTCCGAGGCAGTATCACTACGGAAGTAGATTGCCCCATCTTTCTACCAAGGAGTGGCTGGTGGGTTTGAACCCCCAGCCTTCTGGTTAGCAGTCAAGTGCCTTAGGCACTATACTACCAGAGATAGTCTTAAGACATGGGAGCACAGAGAGAATAAATAAAATACTAAAGATTATGGTCAAGAAGCCCTATGGGGTGGTTCCACTCTGTCACATGGGGTCACTTCGAGTCAGAATTGACTCGAGCATACAACAGTAACTTAGGAGTAGAAGAGAAAAATATTCATCTTCACTTGTACACATTCAGCCTCATATTCTGAGCTCTGGATGAGAAAACAGTGATCCCTGAACTTTCCAGTAAGTAGGTCTCAACGGAATACTAGTTATTTTTTGGCTGATTTAGGCTCTGACAATTCGGTGGGCGTGTGCACTCTAGAGGAGCTCTGGTAGTGTAGTGCCTAAGGCATTTGACTGCTAACAAGTAGGTTAGTGGTTCAAACCCACCAGCCACTCTGTGGAAGGAAGGCTGGGCAGTCTAATTCCATAAAGATTACTGCCTCAGAAAGCCAATGGGGGTTGCTGCGAGTTGGAACCGACTCATGACAGTGAGTTGGCAGTGAGTTACGCACTCCAGAAGCCCATGTTGGCATTGTTTTATCCCACAGGGATTTGTGATAGGCCCGTAGATGGAAAGTTTTGGATGTGAAGGTTACCAAGTCTCTCTGCATACAGAGAGGGATCTAAATGTCATCAAATAGATAACTCTTCAGTACAAATGCAGTCTTGAAATTAGGTTCTTGGTGTGATAATGTACAATTCTGTTTTTCATTCGGGGAGTCCTGAAAAGAAATAGTTTCAGGCCTTTTACCTAATGTTAAGATGTTTGTTATATTCCTGGTGGTATTTCTTTTTCTTAATAGGCTGAATTCTCCTAAGAACATAAAGGTAAAGAAAAGAGAAAGAAAATTGCCTGAACTTGACTGTATGCTTGTTGTGTGACCTCACCCATTATTATTATTTTTTTCTTTCTTTATCTGTTGATACTGCTACTAAAGTGGTGCTACCTTCTCAAATGACACTAAGTGAGATTTTAAGAATATATCTTTTTGTGAGATGTGATTTTATTTGATTTCCATCAGAGATTATTTGGAACAGGCAATTTCTAGACTTTACATGTTCTGCAAGGCCTTAGTTTGAGTGTGATGAGTGTGGACCATTTCCTGTTAGTGTTTTGCAACCTGAGGAATTTTAGTGTTCTCTTTTATTGAGTGTTTCTGGGAAAGGATTATTCAGAAATACATTTGTTAGTATCTAAAAAAAAAACCAAGCCAAACTTGCTGCTGTCGAGTTGAATCTGACTCATAGTGACCCCTCCTTGGGTTATGAGGTGGTATCTCTATGGAAGTAAATTGCCCAATCTTCCTTCCTAGGAGTGGCTGGTGGGTTTGAACCACCAGCCTTCTGGTTAGCAGTCAAGTGCCTTAGGTACTATGCTACCAGAACTACTAATTTTAGGTTTGAAAATTCCAAGTGAAGCCTACTGAAAGTTAAATGTGTCTGAGGTGTATGGAGGATTATTGATGTCTACCTTGTCTAAAATGTATGTATATATAAATAAAAGTGAGACAGTGTTGCTGATGGATCTTGGTCTTATCTCAGAGGATGAATTCTTCTCATTTTTAATGTTCAAATAGATGAAATTACCTGGGAAAGTCATCCTATTATTTAAGTCACATTTAAGAATGTTCCTGTGCCTGTAGTCTAAATAACTCTTTTTTTTTTCCCTCCCTGAATAACTCTTGAATAACAAATTATTTTCAGAATTTTTGGCTGGTCTAAAGAACAAAATGTGCTAAATGATGAATGTGGATTGAACAGATAATTCTGACCCCCAATTCTGCATATCTTTAGTATTAATGAGCACTATAGGTAAGTTACAAGCAATATATCTGAAAATAAATAACTACAAAATACCATGACTCTATTTTAAGTGGAGTTTTTGAGGTCACAGGATGTAGAATTCTTCCAGGCTAATGTTCTCACTGTAAGTATGATGAGTGTTTAAGTCCATCATTAGCTAGTTTTAGCCTGAATCATGATCATGATAATGATGATGTCAACTAACATTGAGGGCATATGCCAAATGATGTGCTTTCCAGTCCTTATTATATTCAGTCCTCTCTTTAGCATTGAGAATGTGGAATAATATTTTCAGCAGTGGAGAATTATATTTAGTAATTCCTTTACTCTAAAATTAAAATGTTATCAAATTAGGGAATCCTGAAAATAAAACTAGATCCTGAAAATAAAACTAGATTAAAGCTTAACCTTTCAAGAGTAATTATTTTCTGCTTTGAATTTTTTTGTTGGAAAATGTGTGTTTTCAGTACTGGAAGGCATTTTGAATTAAATGAAAACTCTTTTTTTTTTTTTTTGTGGTGATATGAATACCATATATTGAGTGATCACCCATGGAGCCTTCTTCTAGTTTGTTGCATGATTTTGTTGCACAGATGCTGTTGAATGACCAGGATTCTGAGGCAAATTTGAGCTTGTGCCAAACACTAAGGATATGTGAGCGAGCAACTTCCAAGCTAATTTTTATAACAGGACATATTTTAGGAGTGCATAATCACTTTATCAAGCTAATTTAAATTTCTATCTTTCTTATGCCTCCATCCTTCTCTATGAACTAATACATTGTTTGCTTTTTAGATTTCAATAGTAATTTTACTATTTAGGTAGCTTATTTAATTTCATGCTGCCAAGGGAATTATTCCTACTTGATTCATTTAAAAAATAACAAGAAGCAATAATTTTATCTAGAGTGACTACTGTTGTTGGTTGCTGTCAGGTTGGCTCTAGCTTATAGAGACCTTACATATCACAAAACTAAACATTTCCTGGTCCTGTGCCATCTTCATGGTTGTTAGTGTTTTTGATCCATAGGATTTTCAGTGGCTAATTTTTAGAGGTGGATCAACGGACCTTTCTTCCTAGTTTGTCTTATTCTGAAAGCCCTACCAAAACCTGTCTACCATGGGTGTCCCAGCTGCTATTTAAAATACTGGTGGCACATTTCCAGCATCACAGCAACATGAAAGCCACCATAGTATAACAAACTGATGGATGGGTGGTGGACTGGTACATAACTATTAACTAATGCATGTGCCAGGCACTCTCACAGCTCTTCATAAGTATTATCTCATTTAATATTCACAAGAATATTAATATCCCATGAAGTGGATCCCGTTATTATTGCAGTTCTGTAGATGAAGAAACAAGAATCTCAAAGAACTTAAGTAACTAGAGTCTAAGGTTACAAAGCCAGTAAAATGTGGAGATCCAATATTTGAAATCAGTTCTGCTTAACTTAGAGTACTAGATCTATTCTGTATGCTGTATCACGTCTCTGAAAATAACAAATCTAGTTCCTGATGCTGCAGGGTGTTTCTTTTTTCATGGTTGCAATAGTTCCCTTATCTATTTGGTAATACCAGTCATAGTTTGTTTAAGGTTTTCATCTCCTTGCAGTCTCTGTGTCTCCTAGTTTGCTTTTCTTGTTTTTGTTTCTAGTTTTCATGTTATAGCAGAGGTTCTCAACCTTGGACATAATCAGAATCACCTGGAGCCCTTTAAAAAAAATACTAATGCTTGGGCTTTACCACAGACCAATCAAATCTAAGTCTTTGCTTTAACGGCATATTTCTTCAAAGCTCACAAGCAGATTGCAATGTTCAGATCAGGGACAATTCTTGTATGTCTACATGTCTATGCTTAGAACTGGAGGACTAAAATGTTGATTGGAAAACACAGGCCCAGATTGTTTCATGGTGAATTCTGTGAGATATTTGATAAAGAAATAATACCAATACCACAAAATCTTTCAGAAAATAAAGGAAGAGATTGCATTGCTTGACCTATTTAATGAGGTCAATATCATTCTGATAACAAACAGACAAAAGCAGTAGAAAGAAAGAAAAGAAGGAAGGGAAAGAAAGTTACAGACTGTTATCCTTCATTAATATAGACTCAAAAACTCTAAATGAAATATTAGTAAATAAATTCTAGAAATGCAAATTGATTTAAAATTTGAAAATCAGTCAATATAATTTACCCTATTAAAATAATAAAGGGGTAAAAATTTATTACTATCTCAATACTCAAAAAAACCCACACTCACTGCCGTTGAGTTGTTTCTGACTCATAGCGACTGCCATTGGGTTACCAAGGCTGTAAATCTTTACGGAAGTCGATTGCCCCATCTTCCTTCTGCACAGTGGCTGGTAGGTTTGAACTGCTGACCTTCCGGTTAGCAGTCAGGTACCTTATCCACTACATCACCAGAGCTCCTTTTACTAGTTCAATAGATGTAGACAAAACATTAGAAAAAATTTCAATATCCATTTATGATAAAATGTTTCATCAAATTAGGAGTCGGAGAAGTTAGCCTGAGTCTTGACATGGAGGGGTCCAGTGAACTGTTGCTGGATGCCAAGTCCGGGGTTACCAACCAGCTTGTAGATTTTCAGTGGAAGCTGGGTATGGCTGTGAGCTTGGACAATTGCAGATCTCTCAATTATCCTTATGTTGCGGTGATGCTAGAAGTGGCAGATCATTCAGGCCAAATAAAGAACAAGTCCTTTGAGTTGACAATACCACAGTTCCAGAATTTCTACAGACTATTCAAAGAAGCTGCTGCAATGATTGAAACTGTATGAAAACTATTACTTTCTTGATAGATGGCTGACATCATTCTAAAATCATGGACTTCACTTTCTGCAAGAGAACTACATGAGAAGCAAATGATATTTATTGAATAAAAATTGTACTTTTCTTTTTCCATTTTTAATAATTAAAAATCAGACAAACAGGAAGAAAAATGTCTCATCAAATTAGAAACAAAGGAAACTTTCTCAATCTGATAAAAGGCATTTATGAAAAACCTATAGCTAACATTGTACTTAATGTTGAAAGGTTAAATACTTTCTCCCTAAGATCAGGAAAAATGCAAGGATATCAACTCTAATCCTTTCTAGTATTGTACTAGAAAGTCTACTCTTTGGAATTAGTAAGGATAGGAAATAAAAGCATAAAAATTGTGAAGGAAGAAGTAAAACTATATTAACAGATGATATAATGAATATTTAGAATATTCTAAGGAATCTACAAATCACTACTCTCTGCAACTATTAAACTAATTTAGGAAGGTAACACAATAAAAAGTCAATATAAAAATCAGTTTTTTTTTTTTTTTTTTGTGTACTAAAAGGAATCTACAAATCACTACTCTCTGCAACTATTAAACTAATTTAGGAAGGTAACACAATAAAAAGTCAATATAAAAATCAGTTTTTTTTTTTTTTTTTTAGTGTACTAAAAGCTGACTGTAAGCTTTTGATTCCAATTTTTGGTTCAAATATTACCCTCTCAATTTTGCCTTGCATCTCTATAACAAAGAACTTCCATTTTACTATCTCTAAAGAATAAAATGCCTTAGACACTATGCTACCAGAGCTCCTAAAGAATAAAGCTAGTGCCTAAGGCATTTGACTGCTAACCAGAAGGCTGGCAGTTCAAACCCATCAGCCACTCCTAGGAAGGGAGATTGGGCAATCTACTTCTGTAGTGATACCACCTGTGAAACCCAAGGAGGGGTCGCTGTGAGTTGGGTCCCACTCCAAAGTACGTAACAACAACATAGTCTTTTGTCTGGGTGAGGAAAGGACTTTAACTTAGGTTGAGTAGTGGAGATGATCTGAGAGATTAACTGCTTCTTACAGTGCTTTTACCCTAGCATCTTTATTTTAAACACCTGCTGCTGCTTTCTGAGTCCTTTGAGAATTCCTTGGTGTAGATGAAGTTGGTTCTCACTGTTCCCCACTGCTGGCTCAGGATTCAGGCATGCTAAATCGATGAAAACTTAACCATTTGCTTTCTAGTTTACCATATTGCTGTTGTCTCTTCCTTCTCCTCATCTTTTCATTTTTTTTTTTTGTACTAAAACATAGATAATATAAAATTTGCCATTTTATGTGTACATTTTGGTGTCATTATATTCACCAATATTGCGTAACCATTGCCACTACTTGTTTCCAAAACTTTTTGAACACTCTAGACAGAAACTCTGTGCCTATTAAACATTAATTACTCATTCCCCCCTCCCTTCAGACTCTAGTTATCTCTATTCTACTTTCTATCTCTATGTATTTGCCTGTTCTAGATAGTTCGTATAAGTAGGATCATACAATATTTATCCTTTTGTGTCTGTCTATTTCATTTAGCATTGTGTTTCATGTCATTAGCATATATTAGAATTCTATTCTTTTTTATGGCTGAATAATATTCAATTGTATGTATACATACATGCATACATTCATCTTGTGTTGTTTCACTTTTTAGTTATTATGTATAATGAAGCAATGAACGTTGATGTACAAGCACCTGTTTGAGTCTCTGCTTTCTCTTCTTTCTCTTCTTCTTTACTCTACCTCAGAGTAGAATTGCTAGGTCATAATGGTAATTCTGTTTAACATTTTAGTAACTACCAAACTGTTTTCTACAGTGGCTGCACCATTTTACAGTATCACCAGCAATGGATGAGGGTTCCAACCAACATTTGTTTTCCACTTTTCTGATAGTTATCCTAGTGGGGTGGCGGTGGTGAAGTGGTATCTCACTGTAGTATTGATATACATTTCCTTAATGACTAAAGAAGTTTAGCATCTTTTCATGTGCTTATTGGCCATTTGTATATCCTCTTTAGTGAAATGTCTGTTCAAGTCCTGTGCCTATTTTCAAAAAAAAATTTACCCTTGCTTTTTGTTGTTGAGTTATAGGTATTCTTTATGTATTCTGGACATTAAACCCTTAACTGATACAAAGATCTCAAATATCTTCTCCTTTTCTGGAGGTTGTCTCTTCACTTTCTTGATAAAGTCTTCTGGTGCAAAAAAGTTTTTAATTTGGAAGAAGTCTCATTTATGTTTTTCTTTTGTTGCTCCTACTTTTGGTGCTTTATCTAAGAATCTGTTGCCAAATACCAGCCTTCTAGTTTGCAGTCAGATGCTTTAGGCACTATACCACCAGAGCTACCTTTATGAGTTTAGCTCTTATGTTATTGTGTATGACATGAAATTGGGGTTCCATTTCAATATTTTATGTGGAGAAATCCAATTATCATAGCACTATTTGTTGAAAAGACTATTGTTTCCTTATTGTATGGATTTGACACCTTTCTTGAAAACTGGTTAGCTGTAGATGTGTGTGTTTATTTCTGGATTCAAAATTCTATTCCATTGCCCTACATGTTAATCCTTATATCACCATAGTGTTATAGTATAGTTTGAAATCTGGAAGTGTAAGTCCTCCTACTTAGTTCTTTTTCAGGGGAGTTTTGGCTATTTGGGGCTCCTTGAAATTCCAGAAGAATTTAAAGATTAGATTTTAGATTTCTGCAGGGGGGGGAAAGAAACAACTAGTGTTAGGATTTTGATAGGGATTACATTGAATCTTACATAGATTCAATGTATAGATTGGGTATATTGTCGTTTTAACAATAATAAGACTTCCAACTATGGAAATGGAATATCTTTCCATTTATTTAGATCTTCTTTACTTTCTTTTGGGAGCTCTGGTGGTGTAGTGCCTAAGGCATTTGACTGCTAACCAGAAGGTTTCCTCAGAAGAAAGGTTGCACAATCTGTTGCCATAGAGATACCGCTTTAGCAACCCAAGGAGGGGTCACTATGAGTTGAACTGACTCGATGGCATTGAGTTTGGTTTTGGCTTTTACTTTCTTTTAGTAATGTTTTATAGTTTTTACCAAACAGATTTTTCACCTCATTGATTAAATTCATTCCTAAGTATTTTATTCTTTTAGACAATGAGGTAGTTTTCTTAATTTCCTTTTCATATTGTTTATTGATGTTACATAGAAACACAACTGATTTTTGCATTGTGATCATGTGCTCTGCAGTTTGGCTGAATTTCTTTTTAATGTTTAACTTCAACATTTTCTTGATTCAGCTTTTGCTTATTTCTTATAAGCTTTTGCTCCTTTTCCAGAGTTCTGACAAAGTTGATTCTGTCAGTTTCTTTTCTTTCTTTTTTTTTAAAAAATATTTCTGGGCGAGATTGGAGCATGGAACTGCTTATAATGCCACCTTTTTCCAGAGTTGAATGTCTTTTTTAAAATATCTTTTACCATCTTTTCCAAAAATACTACATGGATTCTTCATGGGAAATTGAAATATTAAGATCACTAGCTGATTGAAAGGAACAACTAATTATATATATATATATATATATAATTAAGTCTTATATGTTATCATAATATACTATATTTATAAAGGGGAAGACTAATTGAGCATTTTATTTGTAGTGTTCAGAGTAATAAGTGTATGTATTTAGAAACTTCAGTTTTAGACCAGACAGTTTTACTATCTCCATATTAAAAAATAAAACCCCTGAAGAGTAATGGGTTTGTTCAATATCAGATGCTTTTCACTTCGTGCTACCTCTGTTATAAACTGTGCAAGTATATCCTGTATTTTTCATAGCAGTCTGGAAGAATTTTGATAAAATTATAGCCATGGCCCCAAGGAAGTGAAATGCTAATTTTATAGGGAGTACTAATTAATTCAATAAACATTAATTAAATGTTTACTGTTAGGCAGGCAATGTTCTTATTCCTGAATTAGAGAAATCAACAAAATAGACTTAAATCCCTGCCCCTTTGGAGAGTCCATTCCAGTCAGTGGACTTCTGCTGTTAAAATGAACAGAAAGCATCAAAAGAGACCCTTCAGAGAATTCTGTGAGTACTTGCTTTATATCTCTGGGTATTTCTTACAGTACCATACTACTAGTCTGCTTTCCATCTCCATAGATTTACCTATTCTGGACATTGCACATAAATAGAATCATACAGTATATGGTCCTTTGTGATGAACTTTTTTCATTTAGCTTAATGTTTTCAAGATTCATCCATGCTGTAGGATGTGCCAGTACTTCATGATTTTTATTACTCTGTAATATTACATTATATTTTGTTTACTCTTTCATAAGTTGATGGACATTTGGGTTGTTTCAACTTTTCTGGCTATTATAAATAATGCTGCTATGAACATTCTTGTACGAGTTTTTGTGTGGACCTATGTTTTCGTTTCTCTGTGTATTTGATTGTGTGGATCATAACAAATTGTGGATAACATTGTGAAGAATGAGAATTCCAGAACACTTAATTGTGCACATGTGGAACCTGTACATAGACCAAGAGGTTGTCATTTGAACAGAACAAAGGAATACTGCATGGTTTAAAATCAGGAAAGGTACACATCGGGGTTGTATCTTTTCACTATCCTTATTTGATCTGTATGTTGAGCAAGTGATCCAAGAAGCTGGACTATATGAAAAATGTGGAACTAGGTTTGAAGGAAGACTTATTAACAACTTGCTGTATGCATGTGCCACAACCTTGCTTGCTGAAAGTAAAGAAGACTTGAAGCACTTCCTGATGAAGACCAAAAATTATAGCCTTCGGTATGGATTACACCTCAACATCAAGAAAACCAGAATCCTCAAACTGGATCAATAAGCAACCTGATGAAAAATAGAAAAGTTTGAAGTTGTTAAGGATTTTATTACTTGGATCTGCAATCAATGTCCATGACAGCAGCAGTCAGGAAACCAAATGACATATTGCACTGACTCCATTTGCT